TTACTGCCAAGAGCTTCGCGGAGCTCTTCTCGTCGCTTGTGTAAACCACCCTACTTATTCACTACGAGCAGATTTATATACTTTGTCCCATAGAAGAGACGGGCTTAAATCTACATGCTCGCACCTTAGCAGCTTCAGTGTTCTGAGACTATGTCGCCATGGTTACGAGTGGACCCTTCTCAACACACTCAGAGCGCCGCCGGCTGCGATACTTGATATTGGAACACTCAACTTCCCTTCATCTTAAGCGTTTTATACCTCGCGAGGCGCCCGCCTCATAGTTATCACAGAGTAGACTAAATTCTGGTCACTTGCCCCTGTTGAATTCGAAGTTCAAACGAGGTGTTGCCCTCTACCTTAAACGTGATTATCGCCCTAACGTCAGACAAATTCGTGTCCGTCATCGAACATTGTCGAGTCCTCGACCTGCTTTGGTAAGTTAGGGGACAAACGGTACGGCCTAATTTGACAGTTACGACACACAATGCAACAAGAAATATCTATGACGAACGTCGTAAAGATCTGTGCGGAATCTTCATGTTCATTGAGTATAAATGTGTCACTGTAGGACGATAATGCATCCTTGTGCTCGTCATACCAGACACGCCGAGAAGACGGCACGCTAGCAATCGTTTAAACAGCGACACGTCGAAAATTCGCAAGCGTTGCAGCTAGTAAGTTTAACAAGATAAATCAAAGCAGCATGGGTTTGGTGGCGTACCTTGGTTGTTTCTTTACATAAGCACGAACCTTTTTGATTTCTTTTATAATAGCTTGTTATCTTATGTGATTGATAGATGGGACAGATTATGGCTTATTGTCGCTGAGCTATTTTGCGTCTGGGAGGAGCGAACAATCTAGGCGGTAAATTCGTTAGTCCTGATTAGAGGATAGCAAGGCCGCGTCATGTTTAGCGTGCTCTTTGTATATCGATACAAATTGCACAGGTGAAACGTAGAGTCTGCGTATTCGTAACGTAAAGGCAGGCTTCTCGATAGGTTCATCATTGGAAACATGGTGCCGTACTCCTTAATACGACACAAAACTGAGTGACGCTTGAAGGCTGGGAGACAATTACAGACGCGAAGAAAAGGCCAATACAGCGTCACAGGGAGAAAAAACATTGACAAGTTAAATTAGTGTATCCATAAATTCTAGCATGACAATGAGTTCTGACTGGTAAGCTTTATAAGGGTCGCTAACTTACTTGGCTATCATACGGATTCCAAAAAAGGTGTAAGTATGATTGACAGTGTAGCATTAAACTGTGTAACTCTATATTCGCAGTGTTATTGGAAAATCTACCGCACACAGGCTGCACTCTGTGAATTAGTGAAAAAAATGAGAAAAATATGATTTTTTGCTAGTTGAACCATGGATGACATACTAAAGATCATGGATGCGCCGAATCCCGGCGATCGTCATCAGATAGGAATTTATCATTTGCCTCGCAGATTCTTCGTATCTCAGTTTCCAGTACCTCAGCTACAGTTCGAGGCCAAGTTAACATCGCTACTGTAGTTAAAAACCCGGACACGGTGTTAGGACAGGATAAGAGCCCATGTGAATAGTTATGTTTTACGGATAGGACTTGCAGTCATATTCGAGCTAGTTAACAACTCTCCAGTTCAATACTAATGTCGGACGGATCATTGCGCATTAACTCGACAATTGGGTTTAAATAAATGTCTCAAGTCTTACGCTCGGTGCCGGCGTTAAATATTATTGCTTCAGACGGCTGTCTTCCGGTACCAAACGAGGTCTGGTATATTTACGCTCGATTGCGATAAAGTTTAGCACTTTATTACTGCACCATCTTACGGAGGCGAGCAGTCGAATTTCGGGTCAGGCGGTTTGAAGTTCGGCTTACTAGTTAATCTGCTAAGATGACCACTAGTATCATAACTGAAAAGTCATAACTTGCATGTTTAGATGGGACTGTGCAGTAGCGAGCTATTACAGTCCTGTGATATCAGATCCACATGTACAGATAATATATATATCGTGACAAGTGACCGTATCATATAGAATTTGGAAGCTTTCACGGTACGCAGCACATCAATAACAACAATGAGAGAGGCAACATGCATATCAAGAATGTTAGCAGTGCTTCCTTCCTTGACTATTGTGTGCTTCTCTCTAAAATAATATAACTTTTGGCGGATTTTTAGAGGTCAACAGAGTATTTACGTGTAAATGCCTATCAGCTAGAAATGGAAGTACTCCTTCGCACATTTTTTTCTTTCAAACTCTTTTTTAGTGTACGCTAAGGACATGAATGAACAGTATTTTTTACGGATCGCATTCAAAGCTTTGTTTTATTGGTCAAATCCTCTCTGTTTCTTTCCTCGTTTATCGTTTCTAAGAGTATGCGCTATCGAGCCCAATCCGTTATAATGGTAAGCGACGCCATCTTCGCAAAAATTTTCTCTATTTTTTATAATTAGCGTTGTTTAGGTATTTGTGTATTGTATCAAAGCAACTGAACCATTTGGCGAAGTTCTTTTTTGTAGATAAACAAAAAAATTCAACTTTAAATTCTTTGTTAGTTGTGCCTTTTGTGGACTTTCGTTCCGAGTTTAGCATTTATTACTAGTCGTACGCCTGTAGCATAGCGCTGTTTTTGCCTCATAAAATTTAGTAAACCAGTTAATCAGAATCAATGTCTCAATGTAACGATGTCCTAGAAAGAAGCTCGTTTCATAATTGTCGAATTAATCAAAGGCGAATAATTCTGTAGGGGAACCTTTGTCATCCGTTGACTAAATGGACTATAGTTAAGAAAAAATCGGCGGTAACCTTGAAAATAAATATGTGGCTGACCCCTAGCGCATAACTGAATCCCGAACGCATCCCTTATTACGTATGGATCCAAGCCTAAAGAATATATCTTACTAGTTAGAATCTTTAAAAGAGTTCCTCAATCGTTTATTATTAGAAATAATTATTGCGGGTTTAAGTTGATGGAGCAACTAACCCCGCTTAACATAGCGGCGTCGGCGGCTTTCGCGTAGATTCAAAGGCACAACTGAACGTGCCTACGTACTAACTTACCGATGGCCGAAAACAAATGTAAGCATCGGCTAAGGTTTTTCAGCGCCACCCGGGGCGATTGTTTACTGGTGCGCGCTGAATTCGATACAGTTTTTCAAATCCGTAAAAACGCTTATAAACGTTCTGCATCGCAAGATGGCAGTTAGTCGTGGAGATTTGCAACAGATAGGGTATAGTTAAACTTTTGATCTGCCCCTCTAAGTTCTATTCAACAGCTGTTAGTCGTTTTCGCTATACGCCAAACATGTGTCCCCGAAAACATTACGAGGAAATCAAGCAAACAGGGAATCTAAAAATGCTAGTTTTATCAAATAATATATATTATTCTACGAACGCGATGTGAGCTTTTCGTCTAATGGCTATCAGCCTTATTTTCTATCCGTGACGAAACGATAGGTCATTTGTAGGTGGATCAGTTTTTTTTAATAACCATCCTTGAGTGACACTGTTATACAGTGACTTAGTGCTAATAGTTACACATTAATCAGACATTTCTCCCTATCAGGTGATCGTGACGCAGGAAGCTTTAAATTGGCCCGTAGTTTGTTTAACAGTGTTTGCGCCTGTCTATTCTGATCTCTGTATATAATGAGTTGATGTTTCACCTTTCACTCTGAAAAGACAAGTCTGCCAAAGCAAGCTTGCTTCGTCACACTGAGAGCCCGCAATAGCCACATAGAAATGCCTGAAGGTCAGTAGAACATTTTTGAACCTTGCGTGACCTTGTATTGAAGAATCCGACCACAAGCCTACGACGTGTTTCAGTCAAGGTCGGATATGCTTGCATTTAAGCGTATTGGGATTCTTCTAGGTACGAGTCAAATAATTCTCATCTAGTCATCTTACTTCGCCAATTGTAAAGCCGCGTTCTATGCGATCTACAGTATCGATCTCAACCCTAGTATAGCAACCTTCATTTTGCCTTCATTTCAACAGCTGGACAGTGTTCAAATTCACTGTTATTACGAGGAAGCGTTACGATGCACAGTCTCTGACCGTTTGTCCAAATGAGCCCCCATAATGACAACTTGGTATAAACTGCGAACCATTAGCATATCCGACAACTATATGTGTAATAATAAATTCGATGACCTCGGATGTCATCGTTTGTACCTATTTAAAATTTAATATTTGTGAACTAATTTCAAGCTAAGACGAATATTTCAGGCCATGGTGCAAGTGGCATCTTAGGGCTTGATCTGACTAGGTTACAGCGGTACTAGGAGCAATCTGACATAGACCAGGTTTCGACATGGTAATGATGTAGTTAATCAGTCAACAAATTATCCGCTTTACTGCGTATACGGATTAGTATCTTTATCGGGAATAGCGTCCGATTACTTGTTGACAGCGGACGTATACAGATTTCTATCGGCTTATTGATATTTACAACGCTTAGTGATCTATCGTGACGTATCTATCATTCGAATACAAATGCGTGTGTTCGCACGAAAGTTGCATTGAGGGGCGGGGGGTTCAGTGGAAAGCTGCATGTTTTGTACGCAGTTACACAACTTCATATAAGCACCAAGTATTATCAGCGTTCCCTAACCAATATTATTTGAGCGTTATAAGCTATTTATGTGTGTGTGATTTCGTAATAACATATTGTTTGTTTTGGTAAAACATCAAATTATTGCGTAACTAGCTCTCCGTCCCACAAAAGCTAAAACCGATTTTTGCGTAAAATCACATAAAATATATTTTTTATTTACCATAATAATATGTTTTAAATAATAAGTGTGATTACATAGGGCAGTTCAACAAATTCATCTCCCGCGTTCCTGTTCACAAAAAGAAACCAGGAAACAAATTATAAATTACATTATTTCTGAACAATACAAGCTAAGCAATTTGCGCCAAGTAGTATTTTTCAAAATAAAAGACTATATGTTTTTACAGAGAGATAATATTAAATATTTTGATTATCTGCACAGAGTGCTAATATGATTCAGGGGGGTTTATTATATCACACTGTGGGAAGCGCTCCCTGCCGGGCGGTCCGAATGTTAGCCAAGGAGCTCGGGGTTGAGCTAGAGTTACGGTGCCTTGACGTATTCGCAGGCGACCACATGAAACCAGACTTCCTTGAGGTAAGCGTGATGTGACGTAAACAGACGTCTCATCGGTAAGGAGATAATTACGTTACAGGCAGAATTTTTTATGATATGTTACGTCATTGTCACGCATTTTTTGTTATACGTAAGGAAACTGTATTTGTATAAAGATGTGTTATATATATATATATATATATATATATATATATATATATATATATATATATATATATCGCTTTATTTCTTAATTGCAATATATCTATTGATTCAGCGGGTAGCATAGGAATTCTGTTGCATAAACTTTAAATTATTTTTTTCTAAATCTATTTTGTTATTTTATTATGATTAATTTAAGAAAATAACAATAAAAAACTACGGCAGTGGCTTCAGCATCTTGCTATTTTAACAGTGCAATAATAGAAACGTCTGATTAGCATTTTTTCTCACAAATGTGTTAGCATTATCGAGTATTTGCAAATCGGTGTCGTCGTACGCGTGTCTATGGTGGCGCGTATCTATAACAAAATAAACATATTTCGCTCTGTGTGAATAATGTGTCTAATGATTTTTTATGTCCTATGGCTGTAGATAAACCCGCAACACACGCTCCCGACCCTGGTTGATGGCGACTTTGTACTATCCGAGAGTCGAGCCATTCTTACCTACCTCATGAACAAATACGCCCCCGAGAGTGACCTCTATCCGCAGGTAAGGCTTCAAGACTATTTAAAAGCGATGATCGTGCATATAGATAAATACGTTGAAAAGTATATGCAAATATTAATACTCAACAAGTTCAACATATTTGCAGCAATCGTTTGTTATGATATACGCGGTGGATAACTCGATAATGACGTAGGTAAATATACATCATTTTTTTTTATGTTTATCGAACTCACGTAGTACTTTTTGGTACTTCTAAGAGAGGTCAAAACGGGAATACAATGAAACCATGTAACAACGAAATAATCTCCTAAGCAATATTAACTGACACTTCTAACCTAATCGTCAAGTCTTAATTGGTAATCCTTTGTCTCGACGGATCGAAAGTACCCGCTTAATCGTGACCAGAAATACCCGTAGATCTGTTTTGGATGCTCGTAATACTACGTGAGCTTTACTGAGTCCTATTAGCTACTGATTTCATAGTAGTATTAGGTGGCGATTATACCCTGCATAGGCATTTGTAAGAATGTGCCCGGCATTTACATTCCTTCTGTCGTCCACCCCTTAAATAATTAGGAGTTTTTTTTTTTTAATAACCCTTGTTTTACCCTAATCGGCTTCGAATGCCTATTACATTGTGTGATCGAATTCGAAAGCAGGAAGTAAAGTTTTCCGGTTATCTCTACTGAACCAGTGTTAGCAATAAGTAGACATATAAGATAAGCCAAGCTAACATTTGTTCCTGGTAATGATTCATTTCTGAGTAGAAATTTTCTTAGGTGCAATGTTATAAGTTATGGACACAACTAACACTACCTAAGTCAAAATAATATGCTTACAAATTACTCAACAACAACCACAACGACCGGAGCATTTAAAAATACCCAACTGGTTTGCTGTTTCCTCGAACTCCCAGCATATCAAGGCACGTGCTCAGGTGGAACGGCTTCTCTACTATGATATGGGTATGCTGTACAAATCGATGCTGGACGTTTTTGTAAGTTCTCGTCTTGATACTTGTTCATAGGTATTGATCTTCTATAAGCCGTACAATCGAATATATGAGGCCCTGTATTTCGACCACGCCTCGTCCGGTACAACAGAAACAACATATAGCCTACCTATAGTTGTAATACGAGGGGTCTTGACCTACATTTTCTGTAATAGCTTTTGTATCGCTTGTGTACGTCGAATCGTACTATACGGAACGAGATCTTTTTTCTCTTGGTGGTATCTTTTGTAGGCCAGACAGGAGTCCTTTTGTTCTCTCACTAAGATTTGTTGAGAAGTAGATGAATCATGTTTTGATGCGGAATGATCTATAGATCTTTCGAAACCTTTGAAAAAATAATAGAAAACAAAGTCAGACGATAAATAAATTATTCCAAAATGCGGATCTCAGGGATGTAAGGGGTTTGCTGACTAGTACGAGCTTCCTCTCTCATTATTTTCGAACTCTTTCGTTGGCTGGACTCCACCCTACTATTTCTCTAGTTGAAAGGGATCGGTTCGCGTGGACTGGGTCGAACTTTTGAAAATGCGCGCCCTCGTCTCGTCAAGAATAGCTCTAAGAGCAGAGGCCGTTTTGCGTTTACATAACCGTCATAGAACATCGGCTTTTGAAGTGGCCTCCTCGAATAACGGAAACACTTTTTAATAAGCTCGTGAGATAGAAGTAGCTTGCCGAAGAAATCGTTTTGTGCTGCCCTTTTTACATAGACTTCTACTGTAGAAGCGGGAAATCAAAAAAAAAAGTTGGCTTCATCTTCTATAGGAGTGATCACTATTACCTCAATACAACAATATCATTCATACGTACATGCGTTACTATAAGGATTTGAAGTGCTGTAGGAGATGTCATATATAGTGGCTACTGAATATTTAATAATGATTGTTATTTTAAGACATCTGAACAGATTCGTGACAACGAGAAAGAAAACAGATAAATTCTTCACGTCCACTTACAACAGCTATAATATTATTATATATTATTCTACAGTGAAGTGATAGTCACTTGTGTTTTACAGTTGGCTCCGATTTTTGGCTTTTTTTCTCCTGAAGACTCGGGGGAGCGCTTAAAAGGGGTTCTGGTTTTTCTTGATGAGCACATTCTTGGAGATAATGCCTACATCACAGGTGATCTTTCCCGTATTTCAAATCAAACTTGAGTATCAGCTATAATACTTTTACTCGTTGATGCTGTTTTTATATAAAGAATATTATATATCATGATATATAGTGGTATTATATGTATACAATATTCGTATTACTGACTATTGTCATAATAATAATAATAATAATAATAATAATAATAATAGTAGCCTACGACAAGGACGGGTATATTTTTCACTTAAACACTTTAATAACGACCCAAAACGTTTTTGCATTGCTTTGAACGGCTGGTTCCTACATCCAGTATTGAACCTGATTACACCTGTACATCACGACTTCACTACGCTATGGCAGGAACAAATAAAAAAAATTTCAGAAGATCTAAGCCTGTGTTTCAGTTTGCTTTTCGTATGTTGTTCTCTAAATACTGTGCTCGCGCCACAAAAGGGCGGTCACGCTATTAAAATTAGTCTTTAAGATGTAACAATAGATAAAGGTCAGCAAACGAGTTCTACGAACCGTTTTTCCCTAGAACATGAACGACTTAGCTCTATCGACTGCTTACGTTAAAGCCCCTCTTTTTAGTGACGCGCTACTGGATAGCGACGTGTATTGATGGCAATGCTGCCTCGATCTAGTATCATTTGAAAATGCTCAAAGAATGATCACTACCGAAGATGAAGAGATGAATGTTGAGAGAGCCGCAGAAAATGCCGCGATGCACAAGGATTTAGTGAAGCAGCCTTGATGTCGTCAGCAATACCACACTACAGCCGTGCGAAAATGAAACTAGAAAACAGTTGGCTCACATGTAAAACCATAAGAAACGCATGTAAAAAATAGTTTGCCAACTACTGATAGGGTAACAAAAGTGTAACTATTTTAATCCCTATTTACCTTATGGATTTAACGAAGACCGTTTTCTCCCTGATGGTGAATACAAAAACGCATTGGGCTATATCGAAGACTTAAGACTGAGTATGGCAGCTATTTGTTAATTTCGCGAAATTATCGCAACGTTCGCCGCTTATCAAGATTAATAAACGGTACTGTGGCAATAGAAGGCATAAAGGAATGGACTTGGATCTATTCCTTATATTATTAAAGTAAATCTGTGAGAGCGAACTGTGCACTGCCAGGTAATATGGGTACGCGTAAATCATGCTCGTAACTTCCTTCCTCTAACTTCGGGTAGTGCACAGTTGATTATCGTGAACGAAATTCAGCGCTTAAATATGTATCGGACAAGTTTCCAATGTTACGTGAACACGCTGTGTGTGCGCATATCTGCCCGTGATCCAATGGAAGCATTATTTCGCAATACGATTCTAGGCATCTAAACAAAAACATAAAAACTTAGTAACATTAGTACAGTACTGTATCTCATTGCTTACAAATTCTACCATTTGCTTTACTGTGAAAAACACCATAGAGGAGGCGATTTCGCCGTTCTTTTCACATTGGCAAATCGCTATGTTCTAGCAGATTTGCCAATGCAACGTTACTGACAATCCGAACAACCATGCCATGATTATCCAAATCTTACTGAGCCAGAGCAGTCAATGGAGCTACCACAGCGTCGTATTGTTCGCAGAAAAAAAAACAGTCGGCTTCCTTTATCGGATCACACCGGTGACGGCTAGCGAATCTATTGCATCAGAAGATGATGAGTCTCGTAAAGCAAAAACTTCTCAAGTGGACGGAAGAACTATTCGATCCGATGTGCTTAGCCGACGTAGAACTTTCTGCCACAAGACGTCCAACTAAAAACTTGTTTACTTGTACTGCCATCTGCTACAAAACTTGCGAAGGTAAAAACGACAGAGGTGCAAATTAGTGCCGTTCTACCGAATTTTTAACATGATTGTATAAAAATTCCGGTACCGATACATAGGGTCGCAGGCAGTTGGCACGAATGGCCATTATTCAAGAACCTAATGATAGCGTTGGCTACGCGCATGTGTCTATTATTTAGACACGCTGGATTTCTAGCGATTATTGTATTTGTCAACCAATTTTCGGATGTTTTATACTGGTTAAGCACCTAAAAATAAACGCTTCAAACTCTACGTCTTGTATTGTTTTCTAACAGCTAGCTTCTTAAACAGAATGTGTCGACGTCCGGTTTCAGAACTCAGACCACTTTATCTACTTCTGCGTTTAGTGAGCAAACACGTTACCATGGCACAATTATGGGGACAATATCTTAGAGATCTAGGATTGCGTAATACATAAACGCAAATGTAGGCCACTCAATTTGGTAGCTATACGGAGCCTCAGGCTGATTTGGCGGTGTGCTCTAGGTTTGAACAAAGAATCTTTTTTTTCTAGCAGTGTCGGATATACTTATACGTTATAGTGAGAGCTTAAAGTACTTTGCAGAATGACCATTAGTCACAACAGTTCGATTCCAGTTTATTCGTATCTATTATACTAGTTTATGGAATTGCCAGTGATCAAGGACATCAAAGGATATGACAAAATAACAGTTGTTACCATCTCATGTTAAGAGTTCATCTACTTTTAACACGTTCTCAAACTCACTAAACCGTATTCCCCTTGCAGGAGATAAATTTACAATAGCAGACATCAGCATCGGTGCCAGTTTAACACTATTAGAGGCAAGTAATTACGTTATTGCCTTGTTACAATTAAGTAAAGGATATATTTCTCAAGAAAACGCAAGCCAATTCGTATCACTCTCCGATCCGTCCTACTTACTATAATATTTTGCAAACTAAAAGCGTTTACACGACTTCGAAGCATGGCTTTTGAGGCATCGATAATATTAATTTTCTTCATCTTGAAAGATTATAATGTGAAGATCAGCTAAGAGGAAGGAGATGATATTTCAGCGATGCAATACAAAAACACCAGAACTTTTCGACGAGGCGCGATATATTTGAGACGGGATACAAGTGGCGTACGCTGCCTGTGATAGAACTTCAATTCATGTCACTATTTAACCGTTCAAGATGGAGAAAGTGTTATAAACATATCGGTTACTAAGGCGCGATTGAGGCTAATTGGAATCGAATCTCAGCGGACTGCTATCATTAGCTATTTTTTTATTTTTAGTTGAATCAAGAACAGGAAATTTATGAAGATTTGACACTTTCCGAAGTGCTCTTCTTGCTGTCACCTCATACTTCGTATCCGCTTGGTAGATTTTTTACGGATTTATTGGCAGTTACGATTTTTTGTAAGACGGTATTCCCACGTTACACAAGTCAGAGTATGAGTTTATAATATACATCTATTATACTTTTCTATGTATATTTTTATTATATGTATATTCTCTGTCTCGATAGAAGGTTGGAGAAACTGCAAAATTCACAATTGCAGCCATTTTACCAACAGTTTGTTAGGAGCTAATATCTATAAATTAAATCGTATCAACAGGCGTTCGAGTTTGGCTTCCCGGACGCGCCACGACTTGAAAAATTCTATGAGGAACGAATTAAAAGCTTGCCTTATTTCTATGAAGTTAACGCTGAGGGAATCGATGCCCTCAGAAAAGGAATGCCCCGACAAGAGTAAGTATGCTAGACAAGAACTTAATATATTGGGGGTATCTGATATCTATTTGAAACTATTCGTGTATCTCGTTCCTTTGCTTTCGGATAAACTTGCTACCAAATCTAGGTTTAATGTATCGCCCACGATCTTCCAGGTGGCGTCATCTCGCCAGATCAGACGGCGACATGAACAGCCGCCCATCTAATAGGCAGTTGGCAATAATTTTGGGCGTGTCCGACGGAGACAATGGCGGCATTTGCTGTAGCGGCTGATACTACCAATGTCGAGGAGGACCATATTAGAAAAGCAGCCCGCTCTCAATATAATGGTCGCAGTTTGCCTCGGACCGAAACGCCCTTACGCTTTTCGGGTACTGCGAGAACGCCCACTCTATCGGTGGCTGCGTTGTCACGCTGCCAGGGTAGCGTCGGGGAGCTCTGCCATCAACAGCAGCTTGTCGTTGCCCAGTATACATTCTCTGTTCAGGAAAGGGCTGATTCGATTGTGATTTTTTGTGGTTGGCCCCTTGATGGCATCGACATAGGCCTTCAACGCCATTTGACGACTGCTAGGGGCAGCCGTAATTCATCTACCCGCGCGAAGGTAGTAGATGAAGCAAAGAAGGGAAGACATATCATTTATTCTTTGTATAAAACCACTTACGCTGCAATGTATAGTAACTTATAAAATATTGAAAGTGTCACTCAGTTTTTGGATCGTGAGAACAATTTGTCAAAGGTCTTACCAAGAGGAATGCATGAAGTGAACAAAAAGATACGTTGCGTTGCTTAAGCACACCTGTTATGTAATATAAGATAAGACTTTGAATCAATGGTGCTTGTAAAGAAATATATGATGTATAAAACAGAAATTCAGCATCAAGCAGAACCCTACGCGATCGACTGTTACGCAACATTTGGCCCATATTGTAACGGTTCTGTATATCCTACAGCAGTAAGTACTAAAATGCCTGATAAATGCTAATCTTGTCTGATTCGTCTTCCTCTTCGCTCAGTTTTTTCTACTCACTCATGCACAAAATTTGCGACTTCTGCCATTACAGAACTAAGAATGAGAACGAGAATAATAGGGAAGCTGACGCAACACCCGAAAATGCGGAAGAGGCACCACAAGCTGATGTCAGGGCAGGACTCGAAACTCCATCAGTTGAAGGCTGTCAAGCAGAAAATGCCGAGGATGAAGAAATTGTGTGAAGTCCAAAGGGAAAGCTCTGCAGAGCCTTTCAACGTAGCTTTGATCCGGTCCACGGCGTCAAAGCAGACTTTCGCGCAACAGGTGGCTTGACAAGACCGAGTTCGACTATGGGTTCTATCCTACATGAGGTGCTGCTATAATGGTTTGAAAGGGTTGGGAGTGGAAGACGTCAGATGTTACTAGGGTTCTTAAATGTACGTTAAATAATCAATCTGAGAAATGTATTAATACGGTACGACAAGTGTATAAAATGATATGTATTCGGATTTCATAGTTTTCAGATGTTCTAGTGCGCTCTACGTTTCTTATCATGATTGATAACAATGGCAAATTTTAAATGGTCCGCTCATTGAACTGACAGCGACTGTAGACAATCTAGTAGCTTTTTTTTATGGCAAGAGCCATTACTTTGCGGTTTCTATTATGAGAAAAAGAATCCAACTAGTTTTTCTTACCCGATCATGCCATCAACATTATTTCCTGTTGATGGTGATGAAAAGTGATAACTGGTCTGCAGATGAAATCGACAGTTCCTTAAATGATGCATTTATACATCAGAAAGCCTGTACCGGATTGATATAAACGATCATATAACTGATTCCAATAAAGGTACACTAGGTTACAGTTATACAATAAAAGTAGACGTACAAAGCAAAATGTATGGCATTTCAGGGACATCATAGGATAGGCAGTGTTAAGCAACTTCGGTTATATTTTAATTTAAGACACTTGGCATGCCTTTAGGAGCATAGGAACTACGAGCTTACGCAGTGTTTATTATTCATTTAAGCCAATTCTAGAAGTTCTAGATACCTTCTTAACTGTGGGGTTTAGAAATTTGCTCTTTCTAGCTTTCATACGATCGTTCTAAAGCAATTAGTTTCATACCTGTTTTGTCGCTGTACTAAAACCTAACACGTTTAAGGTTCTAACAAATGTCAAAGAGTTTTCGTAGAATTTATATATTTGAATAGTTTTTTGTGTCTTTTGCACAGAAGTGAAGTGTGATGCCTCTCATCAACATTAAGCGACGTCTATCTGGTGTAGAATCAACGTACCCCGTATGTCTGTCAGATATGTTAATTATTAGAGTGCGCCTGCAGCTAGATTTATCGAAATCTAGCAATAACTAGTCAAGACAGGGCTACTTGTATGTTTCGGTTCTAACAAATGGCTGAACTGAGTGTAGATGCGTCTGCTTTTATGCATCACATACAAATACACACATTCATTTAGAATCAGTGTCCGAATTTCGAGCTCTAATATACACCGATCAAATATATATATATATATATATATATATACCGCATTAAATAATAAAATATGCAAAGTTGAGTTCGTTGCTCACAAAACCCCTCTCTTGATCTGCAGCTCAGTGCATTTTAACGTAAGTTACTGCTAAAAAAGTTATGAAAATAAATAAATATTGATAATAATGATCGTATAAATAGACGGTGCCAAATATGGCCATCTGTGTGAGATACGTTGATAAAACAGAGGCAAGCTACTTCTGCGAATATGCATGATTTAGTGATATGGCCAATAAAAATGCTCCTTTTAGCTAGGTTCTCGAAATGATTGAACGATTGTAGATAACTCATATAAGTACAATGCATATGAGCTATATATATATAAACGAAACCCTATTAAACTTTATCGACACATGCAAGCGCGGTAAACGGATCATGCAATGCTTTACCACGCATCACCTGATACACCATAGGCGCCTTTCGTTTAGTAACCATACAGGCATTCATGGGCCTTGACCGGATCGAACTATTTTGAGGTGACTCCACTGCACCCTACATGTTAACGAAGCGAAGAGTGTGGAGTATATATTTTTGCAAAAAAAGACGTGCAACACACACGAAGACATACGGCTAAATCAATAGGCGGTTGGGCCGGCTTTCTAAGCGGATCTTATACGTAGTAGATTCAAGTATTGTGGACGATCCGAGCGTCCTCTCCCTTTCTCGCATGTTCCATGTCGTCTGCTCTCATTTTCTCTCTTTATCTCATGCTTCTCCTCGCCGTCTATTTCTATCTGCAACCCGGCGTTTGTTTTCGACAGATAAGACATCATTGCGCCCCCGATATAAACGGGACCCTTGGGAGTGAGGGGAAACGGCAAACGGAAGGCTTTGTCGAGGCCTGGCCGCGGAGAATTTCGAGTCGAACAGATATACAACAGATAGCGTGAAGCTTTATAGCCGTCGAATGCTGCCGCAGTAACGCTCGCTACTCGTGTTCGTGTTGCTACCAAATCTAGGATATCATCCATCGATGCAGGCTCGACAAGGCTGGGTGCAAGCCAGGCCATATGTGAGTAAGCTGGAAAAGAGTTTCAATTCGGGCTGGACAGAAGCATTACTGCTAAATCGTGCCATGTTTCAGTCATCGGTAGAAGGCCGGTCAGTCGGTCGGTTGTTGCTCCACTAATGAATGGCCGTATGAAGCAACCGTGTTCCTTTGCCTGAGTATGGGTTGACAGCGAGATGAAATTCCCCAAGAGAGCTGTCAATCATTCAATAACAATAATAATCGCTTTAGAAAACTAATAACACCGTAAATGCCATCGGAAAGCCGAACCTTGCTTCAGATAGGTTGGTTAAAAGGCCAACCGCCGTTATAGTCGCTGAAGCCGTTACCTAGAAAGGTAGGAAGTCGGAAGGAAAATCCGGCCTGCTAGTGATTTACAGGGAAAAATGAGACAGGGATGTTTGAGCTGGCAACTCATTTTGGCGCGAACGTTAGAATGTGAATTAGGTCGGCATCAATATCAAAGTATCTTGACCCTCAAACGTCGAATGTTCCCTCTTCTGCGTTTCAGTGAATGGGCGGCTATCCCTGCGGACGCAAATGTGAATAGGAACGTGTGAACTTCGTATAAAAAGAGGCTGCTATTGGCATGGGCATTACATTGAAATGATGTAATGTAAAGGTGTATGTATGTATGTATAGGTTATTTTATATAGATCTCTTCTTGTTTTTAAGTTAGGCTCTTCAATCAAGATATGCGCACAGAGTTTGCATACTACTGGCTTTGAACGAAAAACTTCGTTTGGGTAGAACATAGGGCCGTATTTTACCTTTCTGCTTCCAAAAAACACTTTAATGTCGAGTCGACAAAATGCTCTTCAACTAATCGGTAGAAATAGTAGGATAAGTAATGAAGTAAGTTCAGTCCTTGTGATGTGGAGTAAACTTCAGAAAAATCGAGATTTCGTAAGCTTAACGAACAGAATAATTAAGTGTTTATAAATATACAGGACTGAATGGATTGAGATATTGCCTAACTTCACTCGTTGGCCCACGTAAAAAGGTTGAGGTCACAACCTGTTCGTGCTAAGAATCAACCTCTTTCGGCCTAATAAACTGCATGATAAACACACAGCCCATTATGTTTTAATAGGTAGCTAACAAAATTCTAGTATAATATATGTGTTTTACAGATGCTCCATTAAGGAGCTGTTTTTTACAACTACAGCCCCTTCATGAACTATTAGTGGTAAGTGGGTTGCCTTCCACATAGGGTCCAGACGACAAAAACGATTCTGTTTTAACAGCCTCGCTTACAAAATGTGTGAAAGTACACTATTGTCAGCCATTGCCGAAATGAGAGTACCTCAAAATGAGAAACTCAAATATGCGCCTATATCTCAGCTCTCGTCTGGTAAAGAAAGCGTTTTTCACTGCGGAAACTGCAGAAAACACATATGTATCGTACTCCAAATGTTAGGAACCACTATTGTTTCAGGTAGAATGTCAAATTGCCTATAAGTTTCATATAAATTGTAGCCGTCTTCACATCAAAAAGCACAAGGTGTATATCTTCTTCAAAACAACGAGGTTATCTTTAAAATTGGCATTTGACACGGTTTCATTGTTGCTAGCGAGATTCAAAACAACATGACTAGAAACGTAAATTGTTGCTATTACCAACATTTGTGAAGCTTCTGATTCCAATCAACGCGGACTATCAGTCCGACATGTTATTTAAGGTGTCTCCCTTAGAGTTAAGAAACACGGCTTAGACTTGAAAGCCTATCGATTCGAATTAGGTAAACTGACAAAACTATCCTGCATGCAAACATCTGCGTGAGGCTATATACGAACGATCTAACCAGTAATTGGTAATGATTCTGGCCTATCAATCTATGAATATCAATAAGTAAAGAAGCTGTCGATCCCCTTGATTTTCAGAACTCCCTCTTTCACTCCAATGGCCCACGTCCAACAGCCCCACGTTTCTATCCGATCGTCTTAACAATGTTTGATATGCGTTTTGAATCAAACTAGTGTTGTTACGCTGCCCGCTAGCGCCAGAACTAGATTCATATATCCGACCTCAGTCGTCTGCTTTGTTTACTGTTACAGTAATTGTTACTGTTGCAACAATAGCGGTGAAAACAACACCAACCACAAGAGCAGTAATAGTAATGAAGGAAATAAGTACGAAACACGAAAACAAGCGATTAATCGAAGAGAGCTATATGATGCCTTCGGCCTGTGTTCGTTAATTGTCTAACCATTTGTGAGACAACAGGACAAACTCCACGTGCCTAACGCCAGTCGCCAATTCGATCCTGTTAAGTGGTCTACTCGTTTATTGTTATATGTCGAGGCTGGCGTAACGTGCATCAGCAGTTGGGTCGGAGCCCATCTATGGCCTTGCTAAGGGAAGTGTTATGGTTGCGAAGTACGTGTGCCTATCGAGCTGGAGGAAAATGACACAGATGTAGCAATATCCCAAAGATTTCTCCTTAAAGGGCTGTCGACAGCAACAATAAGTATAACAGAAACAAATTTTAGAACTTAATGAAGCAACAGATAGAATTTTGCGTATTAAATAATAACAAAGCGTAGACAATCCGCGAAGCCCCAACAGAGATGGTGGCGTCTCATTCGTCGGTGCCCTTTGAATCTAAACGTTTGTGCGCGTTCATAGCTCTGTACCATTGTTAAGCCATAGTACCTTGGTTTTTAGAAGCCCGGACAGTTACTCCACTACAGTAATCGTTAAACGTGATAGTTTGCTAACGATAATTAATGAGAACGCGCCACTTGGGCTCTTTTTCTCTATGTAATTCTGTATTATAGACAGAACTTTTTTTTTCCCGGCGTACATAAAGGGTTGCTTTACCAATGTGCGGTTGTTTTTCGGTCGAAGCAAATTGAATCTATATATTATCTTAGAGACGTAAATGCGCTTTTCTCGTTTTAAAAAAAAAATTTGAAAACAATGTATCCATTCATTTTCCACGAGTCACGTGTTTTCGCTTGATGTCTTAGCATCTCCTTTCATTCGGTAGGCATCCCCGAGGTAAGTCTCATGGAAAACAGTATTAGATAATGCGTCCTTTATATATCGAAGCAGCGTTGCTGATATATGCTGCAAAAAACTAAATTATAGAAAATCAACAAAGGTGGGTGTTAAAGAGAATGTCGTGCTTTGTAGTCATATGAATACCCAATAAATGTTTTACGAATAGCATCGGACGATGCACTTGTACGCCTTATTCTGCTTTTATAACCCTCAGTTTAACTCGCTATTAGTAAGTTTCAGCTGTCCAGGTGGCTTCTTTTGTATCATACACAAACCCCCCAAAGAACTTCAGATATATTAATCTTATATACCTATATTTCTCCGGTTCGCGTAAACCGAATAATGCCAGTATACCCCGCTGAAAGTCACAGCACTCGCGATAGATTTCCTTTCGCAGCACACTTACAGTGCCTTCGGGCTTGTTCGCCCTCCCTCACTGTCTGCGATCGCAGCGATACATTAGCACTCTATAGGGCGAAGTAGACAGTCATTCGAGAATTGGCAAAAGGGAACAGATGCGCTCCCTTTTCACTTGGGCCAGTTCTGCTGCCAAGGTATGCTTACTTTCCCTCGTCGCCCTGTCCAGCCATTTCAACTAGTAGCGACGCAGACGATCTGTTTGTGTTGCTCTGCATGAATCACCTACGTCGAACGCGAACACAACGAGCGTCTGTAGACAGGCGCGTGAACATTTGGTATCTGGGTTGCCGCAGAAACTCAGGCACAGTTTTACTTCCAGCACCCTTGCACTGGCTGCTTCCGACCAGACTGATCACGCAATGTGGGTCGTTGAGGAGCCATCCCATTCACTGAGGGACATCCCGTTGCCCCTCGAGCTCAGTGCGAAGTTGCGTAGACAAGCAGACTGGAACGTTAGTTTTCAGTTGAGAATCTTTTTCCTCTTTTTGGACTTGTTCCGTAGGACTACA